GTAATTATGATTTGATTCATGTTTTAGAATGGCAAAGAACCTAATGTGTCTGCAAAGATCCAGGAAGATGCGTAAGTGTAAATCAGATATTTTGTTTATTGAACACTCCAGGTTTTTAGTGAATGGTTGTAAGGGTTTTTGTGGTGCATACTTTTTTTGTATCGTTGTATTGGTGTTAGTCAACATTTTTTTTTTTTTATGAAATGTAGGCTAAAGGTAAAGGAGGATGTCATTGCTGAACTCCATGGCAATGTGATCAAGAAAGATGAAGAAATTGCCAGTCTAAAGAGCCTCTTAGACGAACAAAAGAACAAAAATAATGTAAGTAAAAAATTGTGCAGTAGATGTATTGTCAATCCCCAGATTGTGACCATCTTTGGTCAGTCTTTCAGTGCAGAACAGATCACCAAGACCATCAAAGGAACTGTTACCAAAAGCTGATTAAATATCTGTATTCTCCATACTGTTCTCTATACATTTCCTTTGGTACTGACTAGGAGAATTTTTTAAACAATCAAAGCTTCTTAGGTTGGTGATCTTTTCTTTATTCTTTTATGATCTCAGTGAATGATTCAGTAGTACTGCTGTAAGGGAAAATTAGATGATGGTCACTCCAAGGGTTTTAAGGGTTGAAATTTAACAACAAAGTGAAGATACAGACACATAAGACCAAAACCATTTCCTAAGAATCCTTGTTAGGAACTTACAATATCCCTTACAATGGTGTGTTATATTAGCTCAAGTATTTTGACAATGATTATTTTTGTTAGGCTGATTTTTTAATTGTCTTTTCCACTATGGTTAGTTTTCACTCATCCTGCATCTGGTATTCTTGATCTTTTTACATCTCATCTCCAGATTCTCCACTCTTACTTTGGAAGAATATTTAAAAGGCTCATAAAGAGAATTTAGATCTTAATCCTGGGATTGGAAGGGTATACCAAAAAAGACCTGTTTCACTACTGAGTTGTCAGTGCTTAACCTTTTTTTGATACAATTGAGTATTCTTTTGTAACTCAGGAGCTTCGAAAGAAGAACTGGAAGGCTATGGAAGCCGTAAACGATGCCGAGAAAAATGCTCAGGCGCAAATTAATAAGGCTCTTGAGGCAGCCAAGGTACCAAGACCTTCTGCCAAACACTTATTAACATTATTAACAACTTCTTCTTGATTCACAACATGTTTACAACATTCTCCCATCCAGTCATAAACAGATCTCAACAACAATCTTGTGCATGTGGTAATAATTATCTCTCTATTTAATCATTAACTTAACAGCCTCACACTGTCCTTCTCTTTTCAAAGTGGAAGATCAGACTGTTTTGGATTATCACAATAGCATCACGTCAAAAGCAAGGCCTAGCTTTGTGTCTTCCCTTTAGTATTGCTATAGATCTGGCACTTTAAAAGGAATACTTCACTCTGGTCTCATTCCAACTATTATTATTCCAGAGTCGTGATAAAATGTCAGGGGAAGCCTGTCTAAGGTGTCAGGTTTGCATGTGATGCATAGGCTCACATTTTCTCCTTTCTCTCTCTTCCTGTTCGTGTTTGTGAAAATCTATGTAAAAGTTCAATCTTAAGATTTTCTCCCATCAATTCTGGATATGTGTGCACAAGTTTCTTTACTTTTTGAAATCCTTTATGTCTGCATGATGCACTGCTCTTTTTCCTCTTTATGTTGCTGGAATAGTGTTGTGTGATTCATTAAAATGCAAACACTAAACAATGTTAGTAACTAGTGTTGGTAGGGTTAATTCTGGTAAACATTTCCTGATGTTTGTTTTGTTTATAGGCTGCAAATGATTCTGTGGCTAATGGACAGAGTGATGTGTAAGTGATTACATATACCTTCTTATGGAGGCTGCTGTGATGATCTTAAACACCAGGGAGAGATGGAAAGATTGGATGGAAAGAGAATGATTGTCTAAGTTTGTTGAATGGAAACTTCTTATGGTCAAAAAGGATGACACTGGTACAGTTTCCAGTGGCAAATAAAATCATTGTGCTCTGGAAAGAAATTTTTTCCTTGCATAAATTCAAAGAAGTTTGAATTTATACATTTGATAGCAGCATGAAAATGAGGAACATTTTTTTAGAAACAATACTCATGGAAGGGTTTGTTGCAGGGAACAAATACAGCGGTTTGTCACTCTGTTTGTCCCAACCTTAATGAGTATGTTGAACAGAACATTGTAAAATGTTTTGATTCCTGGTGAAAGTTGCTTCGTGATGCCATACACATTCAGTTTTGCTGTCCAAGTTACTGATAGTTTACTTGCGTCAGTTCCTTTTGAACTTAATGATAAAGTTTCTTCTTTAATTTCAGTGTGAAGGAAAGAGATGATGCAATAACAAAACTCAAGGAAGAGCTCAAGGAGAAAAAGGACGAATGTATCAAACTAGAAAATGCTGTACAACAACACAAGGATAAGAATAATGTAAGTATGGATGGAAAAAGATT